TGCTCCCCTGAACGCACTGCCTCTCCCTCACCTGAGAGGAAGAGGGGAGAAGCAGACCGGCAGCGTGTTCAGGGGAGCAGGCAGAGCGGAGGTAAGCTAAGGCAGGGGGTTGCGGGTGGGGGAGCCGCAGGAAGCAATGGGGGGGTGGAAAAGCAACACACCCGGGGGGAGGAGGCAGGGCTGGGGATTTGGGGAAGGGGTTAGGAAGAGGCAGAGTTGGGGCGGAGCCAGGGGCACGAAAAAAAAAGTGGGGGCAGCCAAAAATTTTTTTGCTTGGGGCAGCAAAAATCCTAGAGCCGGCCCTGACTGGGCCCAGTCCTATTTAACATATTCATAAACTATCTGGGAAAAGGGGTAAACAGTGAGGTGGCAAAATCTGCAGATAATACAAAACTACTCAACATAGTTAAGTCCCAGGCAGACTGTGAAGAGCTACAAAAGGATCTCACAAAACTGGGTGACTGGGCAACAAAATGGCAGACGAACAAAATGTTGGGAATCATCAAGAAAGGGATAGATAATAAGATGGAAAATATCATATTGTCTCTATATAAATCCATGGTACACCGACACCTGGAATACTGCATGCAGATGTGGTTGCCCCATCTCGAAAAAGATCTACTGGAATTGGAAAAAGTTTAGAAAAGGGCAACAAAAATTATTAGGGGTATAGAACTGCTTCCGTATGAGGAGAGATTAATAAGACTGGTACTTTTCAGCTTGGAAAAGAGGCGACTAAAGGGGTATATGATTGAGGTCTGTAAAATCATGAGTGGTATAGAGAAAGTAAATAAGAAAGTGTTATTTACTCCTTCTCATAATACAAGAGCAAGGCATCCCCAAATGAAATTAATAGGCAGCAGGTTTAAAACAAAGTATTTTTTCATGCAACGCACTGTCAACCTCTGGAACTCCTTGCCGGAGGGTGTTGTGAAGGCCAGTACTATAACGGGATTCAAAAGGGAGCTAGATAGATTCATGGAAGATAGGTCCATCAATGGCTATTTGCCAGGATGAGCAGGAATGGTGTCCCTAGCCTCTGTTTGCCGGAAGTTGGGATTGGGTGACAGCGCACAGATCACTTGATGATAACCTGTCTGTTCATTCCCTTTGGAGCACCTGCCATTGGCCACTGTCAGAGGACAGGATACTGGCAGTGATGAGCTGGAGCTGGTTCACTGGAACAGGTTGTTACATTTAGAAGCCCTTTTAGAACCGGTTGTCCATCGAGGGACAACCGGTTCTAAAAGGGCTTCTAAATGAAACAAGCGGACAAAAGTGACACCTTAGGAGCCGACTCCATGGGTGCTCCAGGATTGGAGCACCCACAGGGAAAATTTGGTGGGTGCAGAGCACCCACTGGCAGCTCCCCGCCCGGCCCCAGGTCACCTCACCTCCGCTCTGCCTCCTCCCCTGAACGCACTGCCCCGCTCTTCTTCTCCGCCTCTCCCCAGGTTTCCCGCAAATCAGCTGTTCATGCAGGAAGCCTGGGAGGGCTGAGAAGCAAGCGGCAGCTTCGCGCTCAGGCCCAGGGAGGCGGAGGCAGAGCAGAGGTGAGCTGGGGTGCACGAGGAGGGCCGCTCGCACTGCAGCAGGTAACTTGGGGGGCGCACAGGGGAACCGCTCCCCGCCCCAGCTCGCCTCCACCTCCCTGGGCCTGAGCGCGAAGCCGCCACTTGCTTCTCAGTGCTCCCAGACTTCCCGCGTGAACAGCTGATTCGCGGGAAGCAGAACAGGGCAGATAAGCAAAGCGGGGCGGTGCGTTCAGGGGAGGAGGCGGAGGCGAGCTGGGGCCAGGCGCAGGGCGGGGAGCTGCCGGTGGGTGCTCTGCACCCACCAAATTTTCCCCGTGGGTGCTCCAGCCCAGGAGCACCCAGGGAGTTGGTGCCTAAGGCGCCACTTTTGATGTGACGGGTGGCGGGAGGGGCTGCTCCCCCCCTAGCTACGCTACCCCGCCTCTAGGAGCCAGAGGGACCTGCCGGCTGCTTCCTGGGAGCTACCCCAGGTAAGCACCGCCAGGACTCCCCACCTCGCCCCCCAGCAGGTCCCTCTGGCTCTTAGGGGTGGTGGCGCAGTGGGCACCCACTACAGTGGCCCACAAGACCCTCCTGCCCTGTTCTGGGGGCAGTCAGGGGAGGGAGGTGGATGGGGCAGGGGTCCCGGGGGTGGTCATCAAGGAACACAGGGGGGTTGCATGGGGCAGGAGTCCCAGGGGGCGGGGGTGGGCCATGACCCCCTCGTGGGGTGAGGAGGGAACCGGTTGTTAAGATTTTGGCAGCTCATCACTGGATACTGGGCTTGATGGACCTTTGGTCTGACCCAGTATGGCCATTCTTATGTTCTTAAAACTCAAAAAAGAGTCCTACAAAAAGTGGAAACTTGGTCAAATTACAAAGGATGAATATAAACAAACAACAGAAGTGTGTAGGGACAAAATTAGAAAAGCCAAGGCAAACCGAGATCAAACTGGCTAGGGACATAAAAGGAAACAAGAAAACATTCTACACATACATTAGAAGCAAGAGGAAGACCAAGGACAGAGTAGGTGGGCTACTCAATAAGGGGGAAAAGACAATAACAGAAAATGTGGAAATGGCAGAGGTGCTTAATGACTTCTTTGTTTTGGTTTTCACCAAGAAGGTGGGTGGCGATTGGACGTCTAGCATAGTGAATGCCAGTGAAAATGAGCTCGGATCAGAGTCTAAAATACAGAAAGAACAAGTCAAAAATTACTTAGACAAATTAGATGTCCTCAAATCACCAGGGCCTGATGAAATGCATCCTAGAATACTCAAGGAGCTGACTGAGGAGATATTTGAGCCATTAGCTATTATCTTTGAAAAGTCATGGAAGACGGGAGACATTCCAGAAGACTGGAAAAGGGCAAATATAGTGCCCATCTACAAAAAGGGAAATAAGGACAACCCGGGGAATTACAGACCAGTCAGCTTAACATCTGTACCCAGAAAGATAATGGAGCAAATAATTAAGCAATCAAGTTGCAAACACTGAGAAGATAATAAGGTGATAAATAACAGTCAGCATGGATTTGTCAAGAACAAATTGGGTCAAACCAACCTGATAGCTTTCTTTGATAGGGTAACAAGCCTTGTAGATAGGGGGAAGCGGTAGATGTGGTATATCTTGACTTTAGTGAGGCTTTTGATACTGTCTCACATGACCGTCTCATAAACAAACTAGGGAAATAGAACCTAGATGGATCTACTATAAGGTGGGTGTATAACTGGTTGGAAAATCGTTCCCAGAGAGTAGTTTTCAGTGGTTCATAGTCATGCTGGAAGGGTATAATGAGTGGGGTCCTGCAGGGAATCGGTTCTGGGTCCGATTCTGTTCAATATCTTCATCAATGATTTAGATAACGGCATGGAGAGTACATTTATAAAGTTTGCAGACAATACCAAGATGGGAGGGGTTGTAAGTGCTTTGGCGGATAGAATTAAAATTCAAAATTATCTGGACAAACTGGAGAAATGGTCTGAAGTAAATAGGATGAAATCAATAAGGACAAATGTGAAGTACTCCACTTAGGAAGGAACAATCAGTTGCACAACTGTAGTATTGCGTCCAGGTCTGGGCGCCACAGTTCAGGAAAGATGTGGACAAATTGGAAAAAGTCCAGAGAAGAACAAAAAAAATGATTAAAGGTCTAGAAAACATGACCTATGAGGGAAGATTGAAAAAATTGGGTTTGTTTAATCTGGAAAAGAGAAGACTGAGGGGGGGGACATGATCACAGTTTTCAAGTATATAAAAGGTTGTTACAAAGAGCAGGGAGAACAATTATTCTTCTTAACCTCTGGGGATAGGACAAGGAGCAATGGGCTTAAAGTGCAGCAAGGGAGGTTCAGGTTAGACATTATGAAAAAATTCCTGTCAGGGTGGTTAGGCGCTGGAATAAGTTGCCCAGGGAGGTTGTGGGAACTCCATTTTTGGGGATTTGTAAGAGCAGGTTGGACAAGCCCCTGTCAGAACTGGTCTAGAGAATACTTAGTCCTGCCAGGAGCGCGGGGACTAGACTAGACGACCTCTCCAGGCCCCTTCCAGTCCTACCCTTCTACGTGGGGAGGGGTCTGCACCCCAAGACCAGACCGCTCAGAGCCGGGCCCTGACGGAGTGGACGTCTGGCTCTTCCCACCTCGGCCCCGCCCCCTCAGCCCATTGCCCCTCCCGTCCGGCTCTATCTCAGCCCCTAGCCCTCTGCCCCGCCACTGTCGCTCATGGCCTCCCAGCTCCATCCCTTTCTGGCCCCACCCGACCCCAGAAACGGCCTCTGTCTGTGCTTGATTTAAGAGGGTCCGTTTCAAAACGGCCAATCGCCGTTACGGGACGGCAGCGGTCCGGCGCTGATTGGCGGAAGCACGACCTACCCGCTCCCGCGCGTTAGCCACTAGCCGATCCCACCGCAGGATCGCGAGAACCTTCGCTCACCAATGACAACGCGAGGAAACAGAGTCGTCATCATCCCCACGATGACCAATGGGAAGGCGTCAGGGCGCAGGCCCCGGATGCAATTCCGCCGCCATGGAGCTCTTTCAGTCAATCAGACACAGTTGATTCCGCCTCTTCCTCGACTGCAGCTTATAAAACTTGAACGTGACAGATATGGCAGCCAACCAATGAGGATAAAAGCAGAGCGGTTGTGCGCTAAAAAATACCTTTAACCAATCACAGAGGTCCATAGGCTAGGGCGAGTTCTGATGAGTTGTTCAACCAATCAGAAAGGAAAATTGTTATAGGGACGGTGGGAGGGGGGAATGACAGGCCAGTCAGAGTGGAAAGTTGGAGCAGGGTCGGGGAGTGACACGTTCTTCAGCCAATCGTTATCTTAGTCTCCTTCCCATGTAGGAAAAAGGGGCAAAGCCCACTCCTGGCCTCGCCCTCATCCTCTTTGCTCTCATTGGCCAATATTCTGTTCGACTTCCATACTTGCCAATTACTGCTGAGAAAGGGGTTTCCCGCCCTCCAATGGGGGCGTGAAGGGGGCGGGCACAGATTAGTCCGGGCTGCGCGGCACAGAGGGTGGAGTGGACGCCATTTTGTGAGGAGCTCGGAGTGGGGTGGCTGCGGAGAGATAGTGAGAGTGACGTGGAGCCGTATTGGGGTCTAGCGGTGAGTGAGTCGCTCGGGAGCCTTTCCTGAGGGTTAATGGTGCGGTCCTGCCCCGGGAGGGGCGGGGGCATCTCTCCGGCCGCTGATGGTGGGGGCTGGGGCTCGACACACATATCCCCCCCTTCCCCGGGGGAATGGCGTGGCCCTGGAGCGGGGGCGGCGGGGACGACACGACACACACAGTCTCCTCCCCGGGTAATGGGGCGGGGACGACACATTCTTCTCCAGAAATAGTGGGTGGGAGGATATCTTGCCCCTCTCCCGGTAATGCTGAGGGGCTGGAGGGACATACCACACTTTTCTCTCCGGTAATTGTGGGTGGGACGACATCTTGCGCCCCCCTCCTTCGGTAATGGTGCGGCCCCGGGGAGGGAAATCTACACTTTTGGGGGGAAGGCCAATGCCGGAAATGGGGATGATCTAATGGTCTGTTCCAGGGGAGAGATTTTTTTCTTCTGCCGGGGCGGGTAATGGCGCTGCCGAAACAGAAAATCTGTTTGTTCCCTAGAACTCGGAGATCAGGATGCGGGGGGGGGGTCGGGAAAACTGGCAGTGTAAATATCCTGCTCCTGCCCCCCCCCGGGGGGTGGAGAATGGCACGTCCTAGTGAGTAACTCTGTCCTGCCCCTTTGGAAGAGACCAAAATGGGGGCGGGGGAGGAGGGCTAACCCCACATGCATCCCCCTTTGTGCTGACTCCGGTGGCTGAGATGGCCGAGACCTGGAGGTTGGTGGGAGGGATGTCTGGGCTGGGCTGCCGTCTCCTTCCCCCAGGATGTCAGAATGGGGGGAGCCCAGATGTGCCTGTGGTGGTCGGGGGGGGGGGGGTTGCATGAGGGTGCACAGACTGCCTCCATGGTCAGGGTCGGCTGGTACATATACTCTGCAACACATACACCTTGTTTGGGTCACTTGTGATGGTACTCCCATGGTAGGGATGGGCCACACATTCAGACCCCTTCCGGGAGGGGCAGCTAGCCCCCTTATCTCTGGTTCAAGAAGTGTCTGTAAATGGTCCCTGGGCACAAACATCACTGCAGGGATTTGGACAGCTGATGCGAATCTGGGTTGTGTCTGTGTCTACATGGGAGGTACCATCTAACCAAACTTTGTGTGAAACAGCAGGCATTTGGTGTCTGTTGTGACTCCAAACTGGACAGTGTCAGCCTCCTCACTATCACACCACCTCTCTGGGGTGACAGCAGGCTGGGGAAACAACCTGTGGAGCTCAAATCCTAGAGGCATGGCCTCGTGTAGATATTCTTGTTATGGGGGAGGGAGGGATAGCTCAGTGGTTTGAGCATTGGCCTGCTAAACCCAGGGTTGTGAGTTCAATCCTTGAGGGGGCCATTTGGGATTTGGGGTAAAATTTGGGGATTGGTCCTGCTTTGAGCAGGGGGTTGGACTAGATGACCTCCTGAGGTCCCTTCCAAACCTGGTATTCTAATGATTGTAATAATAAACATAGCAATAGGTGAGAGTGAGAGGATCCTGTTCCCCTATGCTGTAGGGTGGGACTCTGCCTTATTCCTAGTGATCAGAGATGGTTTGAAGGAGAGAGTGACTTACAATGTGACTTATACTGGGGTAATGCGGACCCTGCAGTTCAGGCTGTCCCTGAACCATGCCAGGGGAGCATGTGGTGGCAGTGTATACTAAAGGCACAGGACACTTCCTTTCCCAATGTCTCCCCCCACTACACTTCTTCACATCTAATCCACTTTGTCTGTGTTCTGAACCAGTGTGGTAATGAGCCCATCTACCCTGGGATCCTCCCCATCCATGCTGGATCAGATAGATGGGCCCATGTAGACAGGTATCTCTTTCACATCATATCCACGGCTCCTAGGGCCACAGGGCAGTGAGCCCACCTAGCCTGGTATCCCATCTCCAGCTATATCTAATGCTGGTCTCTTCAGAGAGAGAGAGAAGGCAGTCTCATCCCCTTTTCCAGTAACAAGCCACCTTCCGTAATACCTGACAGGGAGGGGAAGGGGATATTTTCTTCCAACCCCAAAAGGATGTGGTGCCTCAAACCCCCCACATTCCTGGAGTTCCAGTTAACTGACTTGCAGGTTCCTCTCCCCATCCTCTGTCAGGGTTGGCTCCAGCGTATGCATCCGATGAAGTGAGCTGTAGCTCACGAAAGCTCATGCTCAAATAAATTGGTTAGTCTCTAAGGTGCCACAAGTACTCCTTTTCTTTTAGCGTATATATGTTCTCCTTCCCTTCGCCCTCATTGCCTCATGGTGTGTGAACATGATGCACCTCCACTTGAAGCTGCCTCCTGCCACAAGCTCACAGATATCTGTGTACTCACAAGTCATTTGAGCTGCTTCCTTGGTGACAGGGGGAAGCAGAGATATTAAGATAGAGACAGAGTTTCATCGTACCCAGAGCCCTAACTGAACTAGGGCAGCTGTGAGCTTGGGGCCCCCTGGGAGGTAGGCAGGTCTCTTGGCGGGCGAATGGGAGATGCGTGCAGTGTTTCTGAGGAACCCTGACTCAATCTGTCCCTTCTCCTTTCACAGGGCAGCGAGGCGAAACCCCATCCCTTCTCACTGGAGCTCAGCTTCGTTTTAACCCCCCCTCCCCACACATGCACACCTCCCAATTTTATAGAGCCATTTTAACGGTGTCCCCGTGGCCTAGCGCTCCCTGCGCCAAACCGGAGCTGGATTTAAGATGTAATTTTTAAAGTCTCTATCTCTATTTTTTCTGCAGCAGCTGGGGTAGGTGAGGAGCCTTTTCGCCCCTCATAAGCTGACCTCTCCTCGGGTATTTTTAGAGTGAAATGATGATGTGCAAAGGGCTGTGATTGTCTCCTACCGAGAGCTCTCCCCAGGCGGTTCTGTGGTAACTGAGCTGGAACGGAGAGAGAGAGAGGGAGAGAACAGAAATGATCGTTGCTGACTTGACGTTTTGGCACCTCCCGTTTTTCTAATCTGGGCTATTTTTATTTTTGTTTTTTTACAGTGAGATTTTTTTGATCTTCAGCTACAGTAAGTTATTCCAATTTTTTTTTCCATTTTTCCTGCCTTTCCACTGATTTCCTTTTTATTGTTGTTGCTAGTTACTATTACTATTATACTACTATAATGCTGATGACTTGACTATGCTGATATGTTGCTGATGGTGATGATAATGACACTGCTGATTTTTAACCGGATGAAATCGAGTTTTTCTGAGTGTTCCTGACTGTGGAAGGTTTTTAAATTTTTAAAGTGGATTGATCACGCTAACTCTTTTTTTTCCCCCCTGACTGCCTGGCTGCTGAGAGTGGGACCTGGTTTCTCCTGAATTGTTTTAGAACATCTCTGGAAGTCTGTATTTTTTTTTATTTTTTTATTTTTTATTTTTAATCTTTCATTTGTACAATTTTTAAACTGTTGCTGCAATATGATATCTGTGGTGCTTATCGCTCCTGATAGCGATGGCCCTTCCCCAAACAGCCCCTCTCCTCCTTTGACCCCCAAACCCTCCTCCCGCTCTTCCTCTACGCCGTCCTTCCCTCACAAACAACCCACCACAACGACATGGACACCCAGCCCGGAGCAGCAGCGGCAGCTGGTGGTACCACGTGCGGCGCAGATACAAATCCATCCTGGGCCATGGTAAGAGGTGTGAGGGCCAATAGGTTTTATTGCAAGCTTCAGCAGCCAGAATTAAAGGCCCTGGCATGGAGGAGGCATTGTTGTGTGTGCCAATGTTGTGTCTTAGGCATGGTCCAAGGTTAGCTTGCTGCAGAGACGTGCATTAGCAGAGGTGCAGGGGGCGGGGGGTTTTGCCATGGCAAGGGACATGGTCATGTGGCTCTGGTGGTGGGAGGGGAAAGACACAGCCTGCTTGGTTATCACGGCTGATAAGTGTGGTCACATTTCCACCTCCACAAGCTGCGTCACAAGAAGAGTTCTGGGTTTGAGAGAGACAGGGGAAGGGAAGCCATGTAAATCCTGTTCTCAACACACAACTTGTCAGGCTCAGCTCCCCCAGACGTGCAGCCTTCCAGCATCGATGAACCTTTCTGCTGCTCTCCTCAGATGTCCCTTTCAGTGAGGAGCCTGGAGCTGAGCACAGGATCCCAGGTGGGATCTTCTGGACTTGTGTATAGAGGTACTCTCCCGTCCCTGCTCTGGGACCAGAGGCCTTTGTGTTTAAGAGTGTTGGACCTGAGTGCCAGGTCCCAGATGGGGTCTCCCTAGAGCTGTACGTAGGTTGTTCTCCCTTTTCTTGTCTGTGGTTGGTATGTGCAGAAGCAGCAGGGGGTTGAACCACCTCTGGGGATGGAGCATGCTGACTCACCATTCAGTGACATGCTCTCAAGTCCTGGAGTCCTCACCAAGCTCTGCTGAGGTCCCTCAATCCTGACTTGCAGCTGCCCCTGCTATTTTAGTCCAAGGGCTTCTGTAGCAGGGACTGTCAGTGGCACCATGTTTGTTGTATGGTCCTTGAGCTCCTGGCAGGTGCTCAGTCTGGCCTGTTGAAATGCAGGTGTGTTAATCTCACCAGCCCCCAATGCTTTGACCTTTTGGGGTGTGGGGCTGTGTTTGGGTGTGGAGGGCAACAATCTTCTGTGCAGCAGGGCTGAGTGTAAAGGGTGAATGCCATTCTGAGAGATGGGGGACAGTTCTCAAGAAGTCTTCCAGACCTCTGTTCCCTTCCCCTCCCAGCCCCCAGCAGGTCCATGAAAGAGCATCCCCTTCATCAGAGGCAAGTGGAAACAAAGCTGCACTCCATCTCCATGTTGTGCAGCATTGCCCCCATGCTGATCCCTGCCTCCTACTCGTGATGTACAGTGCCTGTATGCTGCCCTAGGCCCATCGTATTCTGTGCAGAAGGGGGTTGAACACCCCCTTCAGATGGGACAAGTCATTGCTCTTTCATGAAAGGCTTGTTGTCTGTAGGGTGGCTGGGAAGGCATGCAAAGAATATCAGGGAGGGAGAGCACTTGGTGAAGTGCTTGGGTCTCAGGTGAGCCCCTGTGTTGCTGGGTGACCCAGGGAAGGTCACTCTGCCTCCTTCTGAGTTGGCTGGTGTGGAGCACAAGGCAGGATCTGCATGAGTCCAACCCCTCACCACTCCCAGTTTGGAAATTGCCTCAGGAAGAAAGGATCCAGGGTCCACGTGAGCCAAGATAGGGCTTCTCATTCCCATCCAGCCTGTCTGCTTCGCAAAGAGATTGGGACGGCTCCTCTTAGAGAATGGAGGGTTACACAACAACGGGTGATAGATCGGATCCTGGTATTTGCAGCCGCATTACAGAACAAAGGGCAGAATTAATGAAATGGAAAGGCAGTTAGTGTGCTGGAGGATGGTGTGGATTGCACTCTCAGCAAATTTGCGGATGATACTAAACTGGGAGGAGCGGTAGATACGCTGGAGGGCAGGGATAGGATACTGAGGGACCTAGACAAATTGGAGGATTGGGCCAAAAGAAATCTGATGAGGTTCAATAAGGATAAGTGCAGGGTCCTGCACTTAGGACGGAAGAACCCAATGCACAGCTACAGACTAGGGACCGAATAGCTAGGCAGCAGTTCTGCGGAAAAGGACCTAGGGGTGACAGTGGACGAGAAGCTGGATATGAGCCAGCAGTGTGCCCTTGTTGCCAAGAAGGCCAATGGCATTTTGGGATGTATAAGTAGGGGCATAGCGAGCAGATCGAGGGACGTGATCGTTCCCCTCTATTCGACTTTGGTGAGGCCTCATCTGGAGTACTGTGTCCAGTTTTGGGCCCCACACTACAAGAAGGATGTGGATAAATTGGAGAGAGTCCAGCGAAGGACAACAAAAATGATTAGGGGTCTGGAACACATGACTTATGAGGAGAGGCTGAGGGAACTGGGATTGTTTAGTCTGCAGAAGAGAAGAATGAGGGGGGATTTGATAGCTGCTTTCAACTATGTGAGAGGTAGTTCCAGGGAGTATGGTTCTAGACTGTTCTCAGTGGTGGAAGAGGACAGGACAAGGAGTAATGGTCCCAAGTTGCAGGGGGGGAGGTTTAGGTTGGATATTAGGAAAAACTTTTTCACTAGGAGGGTGGTGAAACACTGGAATGCGTTGCCTAGGGAGGTGGTGGAATCTCCTTCCTTAGAAGTTTAAGGTCAGGCTTGACAAAGCCCTGGCTGGGATGATTTAATTGGGTATGGGTCCTGCTTTTGAGCAGTGGGTTGGACTAGATGACCTCCTGAGGTCCCTTCCAACCCTGATATTCTGTGATTCTATGCTGCTGCCAAAAAGGAAATAGTTTCATGCCATGGACACATAGCCAGTGGAACTCCCCATCACATGGTGGCGTTGAGGAGGCCAAGAGGTTGGTAGGGTTCAGGCAGATTGGGCATGTGCATCCAGAGTTCCATTAGCCAGGGTTAAGGCTGGGATAGCCAAAAGTACTGTGGGGGGCTATTGCCCATGTCCCAAACTCCTAGGCTCCTTTTGGAAATCCCAGCCTAAAACCAAGGGTGGAAGGAATCTAAGCTTTCCTCCTTCCGACCCTGAATTGACTCCTAACTGAGGGGGTTGGGGGGAAATTGCCTGCTGCAGGGTTTCTTAGCCCTTCCTCTGAGGTGGTGGCTGCTGCCAGGTGATTCTGGGCCAGACAGAGCACTATGTGACTGGATCTGACACTGGCTGTATTCCAGGGTCAGGAAAAGTTGGAGAGCTAGGCAGGTGCCTAGGGCTAGGTGTTGGGCATCTCTTCTCTGTAGGTATTGCAGTCTCTTCTGCAGGCACAGATGCTCTGGGGGCTTGTATACAAAGTGTTACTCATACACTTGAAGGACAGAAAATGATGATCTAGCTTGACCTCGTGCGCATCAGGCTACAGAATCTCACCCATATGTTCCTGTAATAGGCCCGTAACCTCTGGCTGAGTTACTGAAGTTCTCAAATCTTGATTTAAAGACTTCAAGTTACAGAGAAGCCACCATTTACTGTAGTTCAAACTATCAAATGGCCCGTGTTCCACATTGCAGAGGAAGGTGAACCCCTCCTCCCCGCCCGGTCTCTGCCAGTCTGTTCTGGGGGGACATTACTTCCTGACCCCAAATGTGGCGTTTAGACTCTGAGCATGTGGGCAAGATCCACCAGGCAGACACCTGGGAAAGAACTCTCTCTAGTAACTCAGCCCTTCCCATCTAGTGTTTCATTTTTGACTGTTGGGGATATTTGCTAATAGAAGTCACAGATGGACCTTTTGCCATTTTAGGCAGCCTTATATCATCCCTTCCATAAACTTGTAAAATTCGGTCTTGAAACAAATTAGTGGTTTTTTGCCTCCACTTCTCCCCTTGGCAAGGGGTCTTGGAGTCATTTTGGATAGTTCCCTGAAAACATCCACTCAATGTGCAGTGGCAGTCAAAAAAGCAAACAGAATGTTGGGAATCATTAAGAAAGGGTAGATAAGACAGAAAATATATTTCTTCTATATAAATCCATGGTACACCCACATCTTGTATACTGCATGCAGATGTGGTCGCCCCATCTCAAAAAATATATATTGGACTTGGAAAAGGTTTAGAAAAGGGCAACAAAAATGATTAGGGGTTTGGAACAGCTGCTGTATGAGGAGAGATTAATAAAACAGGGACTTTTCAGCTTGGAAAAGAGACGACTAAGGGGGGGATATGATAGATGTCTATAAAATCATTACTGGTGTGGAGAAAGTAAATAAGGAAGTGTTATTTACTCCTCATAACACAAGAACTAGGGACCACCAAATGAAATTAATAGGCAGCAGGTTTAAAACAAAAGGAAGTATTTTTTCACACAATGCACAGTCAACTTGTGGAACTCCTTGCCAGAGGATGTTGTAAATGCCAAGACTGTAACAGGATTCAAAAAAGAACTAGATAGATTCATGGATAGGTCCATCAATGGCTATTAGCCAGGATGGGCAGGGATGGTGTCCCTACCCTCTGTTTGCCAGAAGCTGGGAATGGGTGACAGGGGATGGATCACTTGCTGATTACTTGTTCTGTTCATTCTCTCTGGGGCACCTAGCATTGGCCACTGTCGGAAAACAGGATACTGGGCTAGATGGTCCTTTGATCTGACCCAGTATGGCCATTCTTATGGTCTTCCAGAACTTCAATCCTATGATGGTTACAAACCTGTCTCTCATTTCAAGCCTAAACTTGTTGATGGCCAGTTTATATCCATTTGTTCTTGTGGCTCTTAACTACATTGGCTCTTAACTAAAATAACTCCTCTTCCTCCCTGGTGTTTATCCCTCTGATGTATTTATAGAGATCAGTCACATCTCCCCTCAGCCTTTACTTTGTTAGGCTAAATGAGGCAAGCTCCTTAAGTTTCCCCTCATAAGGTAGGTTCTCCATTCCTCTGATCATCCTAGCAGGCTTTCTCTGGACCTGTTCCAGTTTGAATGCATCTTTCTTAAACATGGGAGACCGGAATTGCACACCGTATTCCAAATGGGCTCTCATCAGTGCCTTGTACAATGGTAATTCTAAAAGGGGGTGGATCTGGCTGTTCCCGGATCACTGTGTAGCCATGACCAAGCCTTCCAATTGCTCGCCCAAGTCTAATTGTGTGCCTCGTGTTGTGACTGGAGGTTCTGAGATCGCGGTCCCTTTTCATAAAGAACTTGGATGCCTGGATGGAAGGCAGTGGAGATGGGACCTGGCTCTGAGATGCAGGGAGATGGGGTGTGGTCATTCCTGTGACTGTCCCTCTGACCAGCTTTCCCCACCCCAGCAGGTCTGTGCTGCGTGTGAGACATGGCCAGCAACGTCACCAACAAAACAGACCCACGCTCCATGAACTCGCGTGTATTCATCGGGAATCTCAACACACTGGTGGTGAAGAAGTCTGATGTGGAGGCTATCTTCTCCAAGTATGGCAAAATTGTGGGCTGCTCTGTGCACAAGGGCTTTGCCTTCGTGCAGTACGTCAACGAGCGGAATGCCCGCGCTGCTGTGGCCGGGGAGGATGGCCGGATGATCGCAGGCCAGGTTCTAGGTGAGCGCCTCCTGGCTGCATCCCTAACTCAGATCAGACACCTCTTCATGCACAGTGAGGAGTATCACGGGGTTAGCACAGGCAAAGTCCTAGGTGAGCGTCTCCTGGCTGCATCCCTAACCCAGACCAGACAGTCCCCCAGCCTCGCATACCCGGGAGATGTCAGGGATAGCATTGGCCTGGTCCCAGGTGAGCACCTCCTGCCTGCCCTAAACCTACCGTACCATACCAGGGAGATTGCTGGCCAGACCCTTGGTGGGTGTCCCCAAGTTGTGCCTCCTGCCCCATCTGCGCGCACTGCAGAGGATAAGCTGATCACCAGCCAGGTTCTGTGAGAGCTTCACCCAACACTCCCACCCTAGCTAGTTGTTCAGCTGTTGAGGTGCCCCCCTGCAGCACCTAGTCACAGGAGCTAGGAGGGAGCAGGAGAAATGTGAACATGGAATAGATGGGGGTGGGTCGGGAGCTGGGATGGGGGGGTTCCCAGAGTGGCAGGTTTCTGACCCTCTGCAGATCTCTGATACAAGAGATGCCGCTGCCTCTTCCACCAGGGCTCAGGTTTATCTCAGAAGCTGTTAGAGGCACTGGCCAGCAGCCAACAGTGACCTAGTGCTGATCTGTCAAGGGAGGTGGGTATGATGCTCAAGAGGTCTTGGGCACAGGGGTGTGAATCGGAGGGTGTCTGTGGGGCTCTGTGGAGACTGAGGCACCCATTATGCAGTCTGCCCCTTTCCCTGTTGCCAGTGCTTGGCCGGGTCACTGACACACACAGGCCCTGTTGCAAGCTGGATAAACTGTAATCACAGTCTGCAGTTGGGAATTTTCTCTGGGCAAGCCTTGCATGTGTGGGGAGCCTTCCCATTGCTTGGCCCCTGTGGTGTGTGTCTGCTTCCCCACTGCCAGCTGTTCCCCATGGCCCGTTTGGTGGGACTGGGTACTGAGTTGTGCTGGAGAGGGACATGGATCATGCTATCACTTCATGCCTGTGAGCTGCACTGGTCAGAGCTAGCACTCCAGTGGGGGAGAGCGGCTCTGATCCAGGAGCTGTCCCCTGTGGGCCTGGCTCCAGTCAGTTGAAGTGTTTAGTTCCTCACACCAATGAGGAGTAGGGGTGTCTGCTCAGCATATGTCTGCTTCTCTCTCAGACATCAACCTGGCGGCTGAGCCAAAGGTGAACCGGGGCAAGGCGGGCGTGAAGCGGTCGGCAGCGGAGATGTACGGGTCAGTAGCTGCACCACCTTCTCCGTCCCCTCTAGTCAGGTCGGGACCCTTATGTTTTTTATATCGCGTTCATGCCCTGCGTGGGCACTTCTTCTCTCTGTCTCTTTCTGTCTCCCAGAGGTGGGGAGGGATGTCAGGAAGTGGCTGCACATTAGATGCCTCCCTTGGGTGTCTCGGGCTGCCTAGGCCCCTGCCCCAAGTGTGTGAATTGCTGTGGCTCCCTGGGTGTGGGAGGTCCTGCCCAGGCCCGTCCCAGCTCATCTCACGTGGCCCTGGGTAGCAGGCTAGCTGGAGAGACAGGTGCTGGTGGGTTTGCTTAGCAAAGCTACCCCTCCCTCCTGCAGCATGGCTCCTTGTGTGTGTATAACTTGCACTCAGAAGCCAGTGAGTCCCTTAGGCTGGGCTTCTGGGTCCTATCTCCCTCCATGAGGAGCAGGTTCGGTGCAGCAGCACCTCTTTCTCCACTTCCTCAGCAGGGTCCCTCCTCACCATCATCTCCTCCTTCTTCTCTCCCCCCCCCCCCCCCCCGGCTATCTGCCCATCCTGACCATGTCTCATGGGCTTTCTCTTCCAGGTCCTCCTTCGACCTGGACTATGATTTCCAGCGGGATTACTATGACAGGTACGTTGAGTGTCCTGGGAGGATGACACTAAGCTTTAACACTGCACACACAATCTCTCAGGGGGCGTAGATGCCACTGTAACACTCTATTTGAGCGTAAGCTTTCGTGAGCTACAGCTCACTTCATCGGATGCATACCGTGGAAAGTACAGAAGATCTTTTATACACACAAAGCATGAAAAAATGGGTATTTACCACTACAAAAGGTTTTCTCTCCCCCCACCCCACTCTCCAAGAAAATTTTTTGTAGTGGTAAACACCCATTTTTTCATGCTTTGTGTGTATAAAAGATCTTCTATACTTTCCACAGTATGCATCCGATGAAGTGAGCTATAGCTCACGAAAGCTCATGCTCAAATAAATTGGTTAGTCTCTAAGGTGCCACAAGTCCTCCTTTTCTTTTTGCGAATACAGACTAACACGGTTGTTACTCTGAAACCTGTAACACTCTGCAGCTCAGTGTGCAGGTGGGTGCGTGGAGGTCCTGTTGCTCGGGGGTCACTGTTTTCCTCCTGCTCCTAGGATGTACAGCTACCCCTGCACGTGTGCCCCCACCTCCCCCCATCGCCCGGGCTGTGGTGCCTTCCAAACGCCAGCGTGTCTCTGGCAACACCTCTCGCCGAGGCAAGAGTGGCTTTAATTCCAAGAGTGGTCAGCGAGGATCATCCTCCAAGTCTGGTAAATGTACGTGTCGGAGCCTGCAGTGCTGACTTCAGGGGCCTGGGGCGGGGTCAGACGGGCTGCGGGTGCCAGACTAGGGTGACCAGATGTCCTGTTAAAATCGGGACTGTCCCGATTTTTAGGTCTTTGTCCCGCGTTCCGACTGATGCACGGTCGGGACGCCATTTGTCCCGATATTGCAGCTTTGGCTGCTCTTGCGTGTGTGGTTTTTTTTTTAAATTATTTTATTTATTTATTTATTTGCTTCCCCTATGTGTCCCAATATTTTACCCGTTAAATCTGGTCACCCTATGTCAGACCCACCTTGAGTAGTGTGTACTGATACTAACTTACCCTTCTTGCCAGTGTGGGGTCTAAGGGCCCTGCATTCCAGAGTTGGGGTTGTAGCCTGTACCTTGTTGGGATGGGTCCTAGTGTCAATCAGTCCCCTGCTTCTCTTGGGTTTCAGTGAAAGGTGATGACATCCAGACCATTAAGAAGGAGCTGACCCAGATCAAACAGAAAGTGGATTCGCTGTTGGAGAGCCTGGAAAAGATTGAGAAGGATCAAAGTAAACAGACGGGTGAGAGGGGGGGTGGAGAAGGGCGTGGGGCTCTCTCGAGGGACCCATGTTGGTTTGTCCTGGGTGTGGAGCTGTGGCAGGGTTGGGAGAATGTCCCCCTCCATGGAGTGTGCTTTGTTCAGGGCAGCTTCAGCTCCCTGGATGGGGGGTGGGCACAAGGCCCTGGGGCAGTGTTTTTCCTTACACCCATCCTCACCCCCTTTAGAGATGAAGAATGAGAAGTCTGAGGAGGAGCAGAGCAGCAGCTCCATGAAGAAGGAGGAGAGCAACGTGAAGATGGAGTCTGAGGCTGGGGCAGACGACTCTGCTGAGGAGGGGGACCTGCTGGACGATGACGATAATGAGGATCGAGGGGATGACCAGGTATGAACCCTGAAGCCAGAGAGAGCCAGGGCAGAGTGGGTGTCACTGTAGCTAATCCCTTCCTGTCCCCTCTCTCTCAGCTGGAATCCATCAAGGGTGACGAGAAGGAGGCGGAGGAAGGAGAGGACGACAGAGACAGTGCCAATGGTGAAGATGACTCCTAAGCCACTGGCGTAACCCCTCCCAGCAAGGCGCCCACCTGAGATTGAGCCTGTCACTGGCCCCTCCCCAGCCTCCTTCTCACTGCCCGTCCATGTGTTCATGGTGTTGTCTCCTGCTGCACCCCTGGCTCTCCCCATAGTTCTGTTAAATCCCCTGTCATTTTCCTCTTTTAATTTTGATACCTCTATGATTTAACAATAAAAAAAAGTATGGTTTTTACCTCGTGCATCTACCTGTATCTGTCCACCTGGGGGTACCCTCTGGCCCAGCATATGTAGTGGCATCTGCCACAGTGGAGGGAGATTATGGCATAGAGCAATTGGGGAAGGGGACACTCAGGAGCAGGATGTACCACAAGAAGTTTTTGGTGGGGGATGCATGTCTCCTAGTGCAAGCCAGGGGTTTGTGCACTAGCAGATATCCCACTCCTGGAGCTTAGAGTATTGTTTCTCCAGACGTAGTATCAACTGGGCTCAGGCTGCTACCTTGTCTGCTGGGATGGGAGGTTTAAAGGACACAACCTGATTAAGGAGCACTAATGCTTGAGCCCCATCATAGTTAATGAATGTGCATCAGAAAAGCAAGGAGGTGGCTGCTGCTTCCAGTTCACATTTGAGACACAGAAACCCTGACTCTTCCAACCAAGTTTACCCTTTCTGAGGTTAAACACAGGCCTCTGTACTTGTACGGTGGGAGAGAGGAGCATAAATCTGATTGTTCACCCCCTTTTAAGACCAAAATGTTGAGAACTTGTCTGTGGGTGAGGGCTGAGAGCTTGCAAGCTTGTCTTTCACCAACAGAAGTTGGTCCAATAAAAAAAACTCACCCACCTTGTGTCTCTAATAGCCTGGGACCAAGAGAGCTACAACACCACCACCAGCAGTTCTGTTGTCACGTTTGAGCTGCAGAAAAAGTGAGAATTTCTCATAGATTCTTCTCACTTCAGGTTTTCTCTGTCAAGTTGAAAAACTGTCTTGTGGTTGGGAAGAATGTGTTGATTCATGAATTTTCTCATGGTCATTTCATATAAATACATCTCTTTACCTGTACAGAGCAAAACTCCTGGGAAAAATGTAAGAAAGGATGTCCTGAAAGAGACCCAGGTGATCTAGGTACAAGCCTGTCTTTACTTAAGACTTGCTGTATGACTCAGGGCATCTTGCAGAATCTCTGTGCCTCATTGCCTCAGTGGGGATAATGCTGCTCTGCCTCATGGAGCCATGAGGGTGTTTGAGCCGCACTAAAGGGGCTTCAATAGGAGGCATCTAAGAAAGTTTGCACCAAGTTCCGTGGATCAGGTAAGAAACAAATGCCACTCCCTGTGCAAGCAAGGTGAGTAGACTCCATGGGTCTCCCTGGCACCCTTCCTCTGCAGCCCTAATGTACCTGGGAAGTGCTTAGCTGCTCCAATCATGGCCACAGTAGAAAACCAGACATGGGCTCCAGCTGTGGGTAAAATTACCAGGAGGAACACTGAGGAGGTGATTCCTGGCCCAGCCATGCAATTGCATAGAACAAGACCCTTTCATTCACAGCATAGGCAGGATGATGTGTCTGGGGTACACTAATGACAGGAGGTGGTCACGTCCTGTATATGCAGGGGAGAATGACACTGCCAGAACTGAGGCACTTCCTGGCTTGCGGGGGAGGCAAAGCAGCCACTACTGACCTGCTTTAGGGGGATGGGATGGTATTGGCCAGACTGGCACTTCTGGTTTCTGTGAAGGGATGACACTTGGCAGGCATTTGGAAGAGGGAGAGACTACTGGCAGGATACTGGGCAGTTCTGGTTTCCAGAGGGAGGCTTGCTGGAGGCTGCAGGGCAGGAGGTGGCCATGGGTCAGCTTCCATCTCCACCCCCTGCCCTCCAATATGTGCACCAAGTAGGGAGGAGAGCAGTGAAATGCCCCAGGGACTTCCTGGTGCCCTGAATAGACTGTTGTCCCTGATCTGGCTTGTTTGGCATGTATGGGAAATGTAGTCTCTCCAGTCTCTAACTTCTACCAGTGCTTTCCTACTGCAGTGCATCATGGGAAGCCCAATGTTTATCACATTCTCTCCCAGCCAGGCCTCAGTGCATCAGGGAAGTTGTAGTTCCCCTGCCCTATATCCAGCCTGCTAAGCCCCCCTTGGTGCAGCCCAACCAATAGTGGTGTTTTTGTTTTGGAGTTTAAGGTTATTTGTTATTTTACAAAGACTGCATCTGGCGGCACAAAGATTATTCTCCAGAATGTCACCCTACCCCCACCTCCCATCTCTGGCAGGTAATGGTCCCTTCGTCAGTGTCTGACTTTAAGCTCATTCTCTGCACATTGCCCACATCCTGGGGAAGGTGCTGGGCCTCTAAACACCCACAAGGACCGCATGTTCATAAAATGTTACTCATGTGCATGAGTTTGCAGGATCAGAGCCAAACCCAGAGTCACGTAATTCTACTCTGGAGTTAATGACATTATAAATTAGATTTTTGGAAGTTACTTGACTATGAAATCTACAGCCTAAACCAGTTTTCCAGTAAAATATTTTCAATTAGTATTCGTTGCTTTTAAGTGCACCAAGACAAGTTACCTTCGAAGGGGTGTGTGTGACATTGTTAACACGTGACCCCATTAAGTTAGAAAATAATCAGAATATTAATTAGAGAAGGTTAAGGAGTAATTTGATTATTTGTTTCCCATGTAGTTACTTAGACTATTATGGCAGAGAAAGGTAGAACACAATTCAGTCCCTGGAAGTTGAAGCTAAACAAATTCAGACTAATACTAAGGTGTTAAATGAAACATTGGAACAATTTACCAAAGGTTGTGGTCGATTCTCCATTGATGCCCATTGACTGGCTGACCACCCTCTCTGGCCCGACTGAAATCCCCAAATGGTCTGGCTTGTGGGAACTTTTGACTAAGCAGCACATGGCTACAATGCTCCAATCTTGCCACTGAAACACTCACTAAGGAAAGGGATGTATTTTTAACTTCTGGATCTAGAGGAACCAGTGCTCTATGAGTGGGAGGCCTGGAATTGTGCACTGCTGCCTTGCGCACCTCAAGGCCATCTGAGCAGTGTCTTGCTGTTTCTAAGGTGACTGGCACTTATCAAGCAACACAGCAGCATGAGAATGGGTAAGAGAGGTGAGCCAGAACTCCCCCCAGCCACCATCTCAGCACAAGAGGATCCTGGTCACATGCATCCGCTTAGCCTCGGGCCAACCAGGCAACCCCCAGAACTGTCTGCAGAAAGATGCTGAAGAATGCCTTTGAAGGGGAGGGTGGAGGCAGCTGCTGGGACATGGTAAACACTCTCCTCCCCACAAACAGGCATGGAAGATGAATTTCACAGATGCCAGAGGAATCTGCTGATTGGGAATGTGGAAGTGGTGGCTATACAGAGCCTGGGATCTCCCAGGGAACACAATGCTCATGAGCTGCTACCTAGCCTTGCTTCAGTCCCTTCACTATTACACAGCTAACCAGCACAGAAAGCTGCTAATGATGGCAACATGGTCCACTTGGGAGAGCACCAGTCTGGAAGTCAGAACAGCTGGGTTCTACTTCCAGCTCTGCCACAGACCTGTTGCATGGTCTAGGGAGAGTACATGCCCCAGTTCCCACATACAAACAGCACTGCAGGCCCATTGGGATCTTGTGGCTGTTGATGAGTGCTGTTGTCTCTGTTACCTGAGAGAAAGCTGCTGTTCCTTCCAGCTGATCCATCAGCTTCTCAGCAAGATCTATCCAGGCCTGAGAGGCAGATGTCAGTGAATGCTCTGGAATCAGGCACCCATCCACCGCCACATGGGCACAGTGCAATGAGCGTGAGGCCAGTCAGCAGAGGGCAAGGAGAGCACAGAGTGAGATGGGCAGCTCCAGAAAGGGTGGACTCACTGTAAATGGCATGTGCCTCAAGCCCATCCTGGCCCATCCAACCAAACTCACTTGCCCCTATCCGCCACTTCCCACCCATCCAACTCCTGCCCCCTGGGACTCCCACACCTATCCAACTGCCCCTGACCACCACCAGCAGAACCTCCTCCCATCCAACTGCTCCCTGTCCCCTGACTGCCCCCAGGACCTCCTGCCCCTTATCTAACACCCCCCCACACACTCCCTTACTATGCTGCTCAGAGCAGTAGGACTGGCAGCTGCCCCGCTTGGCCAGAGCCAACCACACTGCCGCGCTGCCTGGCAGGAGCTCGCAGCCCTACCCCCCAGAGTGCTGGTGGCATGGTGAGCTGACGCTCTGGGGTAGGGGGAACAACAGGGGAGGGGCTGGGCACTAGCCTCCCCAGCCAGGAGCTCAAGGCCCAGGTAGGGCGGTCCCATGGGCCATAGTTTGCCCACCTCTGCTCTACTCCATCTGTATGGCCTCCTTTGCTATGTGGCCCTTCACCTGGTAGGTGAAAGCCAGAATCTGCAGTGCCAGGAAGGCTCAGAGTAAGAAATATATAGAGGGGCCCCTCCCCCTATAAACAGCTCATTGGTGGGCTGGGAAGGGTGTGACTGTATCCCTCCTGTCCCAACTGGACTACATGGAATGGGTTGTCAGTTCTACTTCTCCCAAATCTACTCTGGTTCCAAGCAGCAATGAGTTAGTGGGATGAACGGGCACCAGGATTGTACAACTATGAGAGGAACCAAGGAAGTTTTACAACTGAAAAGCCATGGGAGGGGATGGCTGCACCTAGGCACTAGACCAGGGATGGGCAAAATTTTTGGCCCAAGGGCCACATCTGGGTGTGGATATTGCATGCAGGGCCATTAATGTAGGGCTGGGGCAGGAGGTTGGATACAGGAGGGAGTGTGGGGTGCAGGAGGGGGTGTGGCGTGCAGGAAGGGGCTCAGGGCAAGCGGTTGAGGCACAGGAGGGATGCGGGGTGTATGAGGGGGCTCAGGGCAGGAGGTTGGGGTCCAGGCAGGGGGATCAGGGCAGGGGGTTGGGGTGCAGGAGGGGTGCAGCCAGGGGCTCAGGGTTGGGGTGTGGGGTGCAGGAGGGATTCTGGGTGCAGGATCTGGCCTGGCACAGCTTACCTTGAGTGGCTCCAGGGTGGCAGTAGGTGTAAAGCAGGTTCCCTGCCTGCCCTGGCCCCATGCCACTCTAGGAAGTGGCTGGCACCATGTCCCTGTGGCCCCCAGGGGAGTGGGGGGCAGAGGGCTCCATGTGCTGCCACTGCCTGTGGGTACGTTGCCTGAAGCTCCCATTGGCCACTGTTCCCTGTTCCCGGC